CAAGGTGGGAAGTTGCTGCAATGTGTGCAGCTACTCACGTACAACCTCCGGGCACGGGAATTACTCCTCTAGCGCGGCTGAGCCCGACCTTTGCCTTTAACCTTTCATGGAATTATGGTAGTTTTTTTCACTCCAATTGCCATGACAATTTTTGAAACCCATAAGAAAGTAACAATCTTTGAAAAGCACTTGAGTTGGGGTCTTTGTCACTCGCACGATGGTGGCGGTCCAATCGACCACTTTCCTTTTACAGCATCGAGGTTTTAGTTGTGAGCTGAGAGTTGATTAGTTGGACGTACAGCTTAACCGTTTCCATTTTTAATTCAAGGAGCCAGTTTGCAATGAGCCTGAGTGAGATGAAAAATTTGTATGTTCATGTTCAGATGCTCACTTCGACCGACCTGCTGTGGCTTCAGTGTTACGTACGGAGAGTGATCGTGTACCGCATGTTCTCGTTAGCCAGGCAAGCACAGATTTGCGCAGAACACGGTGAGTACTGCCTGATCCGAGTCTCACCTAAAAATAGATATTGCCATTCCGTATCTCGGTCCTTGATATCTATTATCAATCCGTTTCAAGTTCCGAAAGCCAGTTGGTGGCCAAGGCGTTGGACTCGATATCAATCAGTTCGTCTGTATCAGGTGGCATGGAAGATGAAGTAATTTCGGTCTACACTCTTAGTTCTCTTGGAAGCGAGCCAACCAACGATCAGCTGGTTTGTGCTCCTGGAATTAATTTGTCTGGTTGTCATCTGACGAGGCTTGCAAGAGATCTTTCCAGATGCCAACATTAGATGACATTGTCGATCATGATGGCACCCTCACACCCGAGTGTGCTCACTCCACGTGCAAAAGACGACACTTTGACACCAGGAATGACGATGGCAAGCGTTGAAAAAGAAGTCGCAGCAGCTGGGTTATTGCCAACGACACTGGGAGGTCAAATGGTTCGTTAAGTGTTTTGATTTTTAATTTCTCTCTTATCTGCTCGATGGGACGGAGGTGGCATATTGCCATTCAGTTCGGTCAGCTCATATGGAAGAGTTATCATTACTTATCGGCTGATACTGAAAGCCCTTTAAACATTTTACAGTTGGAGTCAAAAGCGTGGCGTATTAATTCCAATTCATCGCAAACCATGGACATTAACTTGACATGTGGGTGTGCTTATACAAGCGACCTTTTCCGTGTCTTTCAACTAATCAATCGTGGGAGTGAGCTGAAGAGAGGAGGACTATGTGACGGTTTCATGATGGTAGTGGCTTAAGGCCTTAAAGGCATAACCCAGGCAGGTGCCATGTGAATTATTCCTTTCGTTCAAGGATAGACCCTTGAAGGGCGATCACAACTGTTGCTATCCATGCATGGAAATCGCGCGACAAGGGTACAAGGGGTATGTAAAGATAGCGGTTGAAGGGCCTCATCTGTTTACGATAGCACTCCGTTCTCCTCTTTAATGCTCTTTCTCTCATTGCCTTAGCCACAGCGCATGGCAGTGGTTGAGCTGGCGGCACGCCATCCTGGACTAATGCTCAAAGCCACACACACCCGTTTGGTCCTTGGTTTAGCACCAAATGATCAGTCAGAATTCTTTTGCCATCTTTTCGCTTTCAACTTTAAAGGCAGCGGTTACGCTAGGTTTGAATGGGGTTTAGAGGGGACGAGGGGGTCCTCAATGGTACGTCAGTGGCGAAAGAAGCAGCGAAATCGGTCCAGGAAACGAGAAATGGGACCCCCTTTTGGGCCGTTTATTGCGGCTCTCAGATGGACTGCGGCGAAGACCGCGCACGCGTGGACGAGATTGCGCAACGCGTGCTGGGCAGCGAACAGCAGGCATGGCGCCCTAACCGCGCTGCGGCTGGCAACACGGCTCGCCCAAGCCACCGATGAATCATGGGGCGGGGCGGCGCATGGGGCGGAAGGGCGCAATGGTCCTGCTCAGCAACCACAGCACTGTTCGCAGTGCAAGCGCCACACATCGCTTCCTTGGCGGCCTGCTAGTTGCTCTGTGGGGAGCAGGTTCTCCGCAGATGTGAAAATTCCTTTTCGTACCCACTTCCTTTAATTTAGGCAGAACAGTGTAAGAATTCTATTGCCTCATCGCTGTCACTGGCCGACAGAAGATGGTGCAGAAGAAGATGGCGGTCTCAATCGAAATCGACCTTCGAGCACCAGGAAGCAACGCCTTCATGTGAATTTCTTTTTCTTTGAATTCTTGAAAACAACGCAGGAATTTTTCTTTGCGATGTTGTTTTCCTCTTTTCTTCTTCTTTTCCAGAGGCATGAAACTCATCTTTCATGATATAACGTATTTTTTAGGTTGCCTTGCAAGCAAGCAAGCGTAAAGTGCTGGACTTGATGCAAAAGCGTCGTCCTGTCACTCCATCCACAGGCGTTGACAATGTCGAAATGGGTGCCGATGCTGGAGATCTGGAAGGTGGTACCGACCCAGGCAGAGAGGTTGGCAGGAATCACGAGTCTTTCAATACCCATGACATGAGATTTATTTACTAATTTGCTTCCTAAGTGCAAGCGAAGATTTGTATAGTATAGTTGTTTTCGTATTCTCATGATTCATGACTTCGACTACATATGATAACGGGTTTCCAATTTAGGAACGTATATGATGCACAAAAACAAACATTTGGAGTTGTTCTGTTCTTTTCTATTAGCGTATTTCCAGTCTCCACTGCCACCGAATGGAAAGCGGAGTCCAGTGTTGAAATGCAGGTTGTAGATAAAAAGGAGAAGCGGAAGAAGGGTAAAAAGAAGTAGGTTTCTCAGGTTTTGTCGCTGCATAAGTTGTACACGCGACCCACATGTGTTCTAGTCGGTCTCCTACTACACGCCAAACGCAACCGGGCCAGAGTTTGCAGGATTCTCCGACATCGTCTCTGGGCTTCGCTAAATCGAAAACTACTAAATCTGTTCACTTCCGTGAAGTTAGTTTCAACTTTGATTTTTTTTTTCGTTTGAGATCCTTTTTTCTTCAATCTGTTAAAAACCTCAATCAGTTAGATATATCAGTTGTGATGTAATGAAGGTGAATTCGTAGATGGGTGAAAAGGGATAGGTTGTCGAAGTTGAATCTTTTACAGGGTGGGCGTTAGATACAAGGGTTTGTTTCTTCCTCCATGTTGTCAACGCGTGACAAACCACGCGCGCGGCAAGCCTCCCAAAGTTTTAGTCCTTGTCGATTCTTTCAACTTTTTGCACCTATTCTATGGATTACACATTAGCATAAATGATTCGGTTCTCGGAATGGTTATATATGTTTTATTTGGCAAAGGTTTCCTAAGTCCTTATAATATTTTGATTTGAGTCATTCCTCGTTTCCATTTGAAGCCAGAATTCACGATGAAAAGTTAGCTTGTGGAATTAAATGTAGGAGGGGGAGTAGTGTGAGTGGAGTGACGAAGAAACTTTTGAAACGGGCCGAAACCCGAGAAATGGAGCACTTCCTCGCCCGTTCATTTGCGCACTGATGTAACTCTCATTGCTGCCCTCTTCAACACTACGCTCTCTCTGCTATCTAATCACTCGCCACGTATAGACCTACGGCGAGTGATTGGATGTCGGTGGGTCGTCCCCCCGTAATCTCGCCGCAAGATGTTGTGGCATTGCTAATCGCCAAATCAAATCCTTCGTTGCCAAATGGGGTCGGGTCAGCACAATAGGAGGTCCGCCTTCTCCATTGATTTCCGCCTTCTGTTGACCTTGGTTTGGGGGGTGGTTGTATCGTCGAACTTCCTCCTTTAATCTTTAATTGTCAAGAACATCTGAATAAGAAGGAAAAGGGAAAGTAAATACAAAAATGTATTATGATATGTGTTTCTTGAAACTACTACGCTACAATAATTCTTGTGGCGTTCACCGCAACAATATTCAGTGAAATTTGCTTTTCGATTGTCAATACATGTGTTTGTTGGTCGAAATTCTATTGGATAGTATCTCTGGATAACTTCATGGCATCAACAGCTAACATCGTTCGAATTATTTTACGTAAAGTTTTCGGTATAAACCACCAGAAATCCAGATTGTGAGGTAGATCGGTCGCGTTATACGCGCTATCCTTGCAAGTCAAAAAAAGACCAGAACCGCGACTGTCGTCAAAGTCTCAACAGATTCGATTCGTTTCTTTTTTTCGTGTTGACAATTTTTACATTGTTGTGTTTAGAATGTTCTCTGGGGTCAGTCGCTCATTATGAATGTTGACGGACGTCATCGTCACCATGCAAGATCCATGGCAAAGACTTGATTCACTGTCATGCAAAGGAAGCTCAACACCGTCTCTGCTGTGCCCACTTGAGGCATCGCGGGAAGATGTCCCAGGCAGTGCCGGCCCTGTTCCGAAGTGAACACCACAACCAATCTGTCTGGATTGTGAGTGATGGGCCACCTTTATTTTGTTGTTTTAAAAGTGCTTGTTTTATTTGTTCCCTTTTTCTTTGACCTATGCGTCGGGCTTACTTCAGACGCGTACGTGCGGAGAATACTGGATTGTCAGTTGACATTGTCGAATTGCCATCGTGAAGCGTATACCGTTGAAGCCACCAACGGGGATCCAGTCAATTAATGAACCGTACGTTTTTTGAAGCTCAATTTTCTTCCTACTCCATTTTTTGCTCTTATTAGCAACATCATTGTTGTCATTACTTTTTGTAATGTTTTGTTTTCAGCTCAACCTCTGAGTTTTCTCGTCATGCAGGCCATGATCCTCGGTTGTGCTACGGTGATGTCACCCTCGGCTTTCGCTTTTTCCCAGGAGGTTTACCACAAGGGGCCGGTACCACTGGTACTGAAGAGAGGTATGTTTGGTGACTAGCCATCGCTTGGTAACATCAGATCGTGGCGTGTTCCATCTTTTGAAGTATTATTGCTCCCCCCCCCCCAAAGCTTTTTTGGCAACTTCCCTCGGATTCTTGAAGTCTCCATGTTTCTTTATGTATTGATTTTTTGAGGTTTCTTTTCACTAGCAATCTTTCTTACACAAATGCCATGTTGTTCAGTGATGAAGAAGTACGGATTGAAGAAACGCTAGAAGGTGCTAAACCAAGCATGGTTTCTCCAGCCACGTAAACTCATCTAGCCAGCATGACTGGAAAGCTTGGAGCAGTAAGAGTGGTGGGATTTTTATTTTTTGCGTAGCACAGCTTCATTGATTCCACTCAAAAGGAAGATCTAGGAAGTGCAATGTGTTCGATGTGTCGTGGGAAAATCTGGTTGAAAAGTGCCAGTCGTTGCCATCGATGTCTCGTCGTCTGTCATCATAAATGCGTTGAAAAAGCCGCTTCTGGGATACCCTGTACGCCACATGCAATCACTCAAGGAGATACTGAATTTGCTGAGGTAATCACTCTTCCCTTAATAGTCATTATGGTTTTTTTTGCCCCACAAAAACACTTGAGTTTTGCTACAACAGAATTGTTGGCTTTTGAGGATTACTCACCTCAGCTTCGTCAGGTTAGGAAGTTCTGTCACAAAAAAACCACGTGGTGATGAACTGACGAATTAATATTTTCTGTAGCCGCCCTCGCCGAATCGAGTTGATTTTGGGCTCTAAATACCCTAATTTCCGGTAGATAAGCCCGCGCCGATATCACGTAAAAACACCTCCGCTCGTGCAGTGTACTTTTGTACACCTTAGAAACTACCGTAAATTTGCCTATAGAGGTAATTCGATGCCCTGATTACGAAAATGACTTTCATTTTTAGCGGTGGCGCCAT